TAAAAAGGGCACACCTTGGGAGCCAATTTGGGACAGCCTAAGTCCTACCCACAGCCTGAGGCAGAGCCACCCCAGGGAACCTGCAAGCCCTGAGACAAGGAAACAACCTAAACGTCTGGAAAAAGAAAATGTTATTTGGCCATTAAAAAAGGGAAAAAAAATCCTGCCATTTGTGAGCTCTGACCTCTGACCTTGACTCTCAAGGGAGCTCCTTTCCTGGACTTCCAGCTGGGAGAGTGGAGGGTCCACAGCCTGAGAGAGGCTTAGTTTGGAGGTGAGGGCCACGTCATCCTGAAATACTCCTTCACTTCCTGCTTCTTTACAGGTGGGTGCCAGGGCCGCCCTGTCGAGATCTTCAGGGAACACGAATGGTTTCCCTGCCATAGAGACGTACGTACCATAGAACAACGGGTCCCGGGGTGGTTTTCTTTTGACGAGGACTCTGGCCAACAGAGCTACCAGGAGCAGGATGAGGGCAGCAAACCCTACAATTGTCCAGGACCTGCAAGGACCAGAACAGGAAGGCCATCACTCAAAGTAAACACGTCCATGCCGGGAATTTCCTGGCTGTTAAACTCAGTCGCTCCCAGCTCTGCCTCTGCCTGCAACTCAGGTAGTGTGGGGGTAGAGATGTGTATCTGCTGCACTTCGACCCCTCTGGGCTGTCCCCCTGTGCCTTTTGGGGACCGGAGCCACCAGGTCTTCCCTCTCTTGTCATCCTGCCCTCCCCTGCACAGACAATGTATCACCTGCCAGTTCCTCCAACCCCTGTTCCTAGGTGGCTGTGTCATATCCATTTTAAAAAATCATTAGCTGTTCTTCAAGGAAGAAGGGCCACAGACGATGTGTATAATCCAAGGGACCAGAGGACAAGGCCAGCCCAACACGGGGAAGAGTCTGGGCCAGACCTGAGGCCAGAGCGAAGCTAGCCACCCACACCCAGGGCCAGAGGGCCAGCATCCGACCCTACACCTGGAAAGCCAAGGCCAAGGAGCGATGAGGCTGGGCACAGCCCCTGGACCTTCTGCAAATGGGCATGGCTCCAGGGAGACGGGGGCGCCAAGGCCCTGCGGGCAGCATGAGGCCATGAGGCCATGAGGCTGGGCGGGGTTAGCAGTCCAGAGCCCCGGATTCCAGTAACTACCCTGCCACTATCTACCTGTGTGACGTTAGGAATTCAGTCATCTGTTTATTAATGAACTTAAAAACATATTGAAAAAATATATTCTGCACCCCTATGTGCCAGGCACTGTGGATGAACAAGAGAGGTCCCTGTCTACATAGGGGACACCTATCTCAGTGCGCTCTGAGAACTCTCACTTGGAAGTCACCCCTGGTCCCACGCAGACACTCCCTCTCACCCTCCAGCATCAACAGGGCTTCCAGTTCTAGATGAAGCACTGCCTGGCCCACTCCAATGACCGGCCACACCAGAGACTCCTCAACGGCCCTTGAGAGCTGCTGAAAGCACCACTCCTAGGCTGAGACCCCTCCATACCACCATGGCCTGACATGAGGACTTTGGATAACCTTCGCCATATGACCCTGGGACTTCTGGAAAGTACCCTCATCAGTCACAGGTTCCACAGACCACTAATACCTACCAATAACTGAGGCAAAAACTCAAATTCCACATGCCTGCAGCTGGAATGGGTGCCAGGCACCAGTCAGAAACCCGTCTTCCGTGTCAGGTCAGTGATCCATCCACCCTGCAGGTAGATGGGCCCCAAGGAGACTGACTGGCCTCAGGTGCAGGAAAGCCATATCCCAGCACCTGGCTCCAGGCCCCACAGAGAGTCGGGGAGTGGGCTCTGGGCATCAGCTGCACCCAGATTTCCTAAACCTACAGAACCGGAATGCATCAGGGGTTGGGCAGGGGACTATGCAATTTCGTTCAAGGAACTTAGATGAGTGCGATGCTGAAAGTCTGCCTGGGGACCTCCGCTAAGGTGTGAAAAGGGATGGACGGATGAGGAGTGAGGGAGATGGATGGATGGATGGATGGACGGATGGACGGATGGACGGATGGACGGACGACATGGATTAGGTAGTAGATGGATGATGGTTGAGTGGATGGTGGATGGATGGATGGATGTATGGATGGATGGTGGGTGGACAGACGGACAGACACATGACCCAGTTTTATGATAACGAGTATGACCATGTGACTGTCCATGTAAGAGATTAAAATAGGTTTCTAGTGGATGCTGCAGGCTCCTCCTGTAGGAATAAATCGACAGACGAGAGGATGGAAGAAGCTGATGTGGGCCAGGAACATGATGCTGGGCTGAAGCATCCCGTGAAGAGGGCAGTGGTTCGGTGTGCCATGTAAGCTGGCAGGCATTAATCACAGCCTGACACAGGTGGTGGCCAGGAGATAGCCCCCATCCCTGCTCCTCCCAAGGGCCTAGCCTTATAGCTGCACCATCACATAGCTGGCGCTCCTCTGGTTCACAGGGTCCTCCCACTCTCCACGTCTAGGGGAGGAGCCATGATTGAGGAGAAACTGGGGCAGCAGACCATCGGTACCTCTCAGCGAAAGCCAGTGCAGGACCCGCTCAGAACTGGGAGAAATGGGTCCAGCAGGAACTGGGCGGTGAGGGGATGGGAGGATGGGCTGTGACTAACACAGGGTAGAAAGGTTGTGAGTCTTGCGGGGGTGGGGGGCGCGGGGCAGCAGTTACTGATACTTTTCCAAAATCAGACATCTACTGAGAGGGGACATGTTTGGGTATGAGCAGAGCGTGTGCGTGCGTGTGTGATGAGAGAGAGAGCTTTCAACCCCTTCTTGACTTCTACCTAATTTGCTTTTTGTTTTTCAGACTTTGCTGATAGGTCTGGTGGGAAGAAAGCTACAACTAATTCGACTAATTCCAAGCCAAGTGAATGCCTGCTATGTGCAAGGCTGCATGCTGGGCAGGACAATACCACGGTGAGCTAGGGCCAGGAAGGAAAGTTCTGACCACAGGAAAGTAACTGGTGGGAAAGGCTTAATCCCCAGCGCTCAGAAGGGAGGGATCACATCTGCCAGGGGGAAGGTCAGGAAAAGGAAGAGGTGGCATTTTACTCGTAAAGTCCAGGCGTGGCTCCAACAGTCAGGGACAGGGAGAAAGAGAATCCAGCCCGAGCGGTGGCAGGACAGTTAAGAAGTGTCCAGGGGTCACAGAACAGTCCAGTGTGGCTGAAGCACTCACATGGGGGCTGGGCTGGGGGGCAAGGAACCCCCTCAGAGGCTCTGAGTCACAGGGCCAGTGCCAAGGGGAAGTAGAAGGAGGGAACAGATGCTAGCCCAACCCCAGAACGAATGGGGAAGGGGACAGGGTAAGGGAGTAGAGGAAGAAGACGGGAAGAATCTCAGGTTGGAACCTGTTATTCATAACTCTGCAGGGCTCAGCAGTGTGCTCAGTAATAACGTGGCCATACGCAATTCAGCACGTACTCAGTAAATGCCATTACTGTCCTCCCAGTGGCTGAGGCCAAAACCTCAGGGTCATCCTCGAATCTCTCCTTGCCACAGTCCTTCAGCAAGCACACTGCTCTCCCTCTAAAACATCCCCACGCCCAGCCACGGCCCTCTCCCTGCACGGCTCCCTGTTCCCCTACCTGGAAGGCTCTGTCCCAGATCTTTCCATGGGTGCCTCCTGCAGTTCGAGTGTCACCTCCAAGAAGCCTTCCCTGACCACCAGTCCCCTTCCCAGCCACTCTCTCCTGCCACCCCGTTTTATTTGAAGATGCCTGTCTCAACACACGCCGCCCCAACCTTTTGTGGCTTATTCCTGGCTGTGTCCCAAACACTCAGAATAGTGCCAAGCAAACAATAGGTACTTGCTGAATTGCTCCTAATGCCATTTTAGGAGTGCAGGGGCCCTGTGCACTATACCCACAGATGTGGCATTCATTGCCCAGAGTTACTGCTTCCAGGAGATGTGCTCTGAGACTGGGTGAGACCAAGGGCAGTCACTGCCGGCGCTTAGGAAGTGCACAGTGTGGACGGCTGCCATCTGGATAAGGCAGGCGACAAGTGGTAGCCCCAGCAGTCAGCGAGGAGGAAGCCACTGCCCGGTGGCCAGACACTTCTCCGCAGCGTGAAGGTTGGAGGGGGTTTGCAGCCTACAAACGGGTGCAATTTCCTTAGCACCAACCGCGGTGGGTAACATAACAGGTTACTTCCTCCTCCCACAGACAGCAAGGGACGTGGGCGGGCAGGAAGGCCTGGCGCCTCTCCCACTGCCCAGGCAGGCCTGCAGCTGCGGGTGCGGGGTCATTTAGGCCGGGATCCCTCGCCGAGGTCTGCGGGCGGTCCGGGCCCCAAGCCGGTGCGCAGCCTCCCTCAGCCACACCCATTTCCTTAGCAGGGCGCTCGCGGCTCTGCCTCCCTCGCGCCCGGGATCCTGCCCAGTCTCGGCGGGTCCTGACAGTGGGATGCAAATATAGGTCGTTGGACTGACCAGATAACTGAGGCCAGGCCAGGCCACGCCGTCAGAGCCAAAGCCAGGCTTAGAACCCGGGTCTCTGCCTGTTGGTTCAGGGCTATTTCTGTCAGTCATTCACAACGGTTTCTAAAATTAAGAAATGGTAAGTATGTGTGTGTCCATACATGGAAACGTTCCTGCGAAACCGAACGAGCCGAGGACGCCCCGCGCTGACATGCCCCGCTCGTAGCTCAGCTGTGCGCGTCGTCCAGCCCCCAGCCCTGGCCCTGAGCTCCACGGGGGCCGGGGCATCGCCTTATTGACCTCCGTAACCCGGGTACCTGGCACGGTGCTGGCACCGAGCGGGCGCCTAGCACCTGGCCCAAAATGGCGCGGAATGGCAAGGATGCCAGCTGAAGTGAGGATCCCCGGCGGTGCGACCCGAGGGGCGCCAGGGCCGGGGAGGGGAGCCCCGGAGGCCGGTGGCCCCGGCTCTGCGGCGGCGGCTCAGCCGCATCTGAAAAGTTGTCAGGGTTCCCGCGGTCTCTGGGCGCCGGGCGCCACCCCCCGCCCCTCCCCACCCGCGCCCACTCACTGGTGCTGGGTCGCCAGGTGGTTGAAGACATAGGTGACGGGGATGGCCGAGAGGGACAGCACGAAGACCCCGGTGGCCGCAGAGGCACTCATCGCCGCCGCCCGCGCGCCGCTCGC